GCTGATGGCCTAAAATAAAGGTTGTGAAAAGAAGAAAAAAATATTTTTGTGATTTAATAATCCAACCTGAAGAACATATTTAAGATACTTTCACAATGCAAGAACATCCTCTTTTCATTCCTATTTCATATCATGACGGTGAATTGAGGCATCAAGCATTGGACGGCATCAATGCATCCCATAAACGTTAAAAGTTCATCACATTTGCAATTGACAAAATAGGATTTGAATATCAATGTATAATTGGGGAAACATATTAGGGAAATATTCAACCTGTACTGATCCAACTTTATCCTTCTACTATAATCTTGTGAATATTTTGCGCAAGTGAATTCAATAAAATGGTTTGTTCAATATATTTTACTATGATCCTAATTTTATTCATAATATATGTAATTCTATTGAACAGTTATTTAGTAGGCCTACATCGAATTTTTTCACTAATGTTGAAGCAAAAATTTGAAAAATTGCAACCTACTTTATTCTTTTTAAGAAATACACTGTACTGTGGGAGTGATGCATCAATATCTTATTAAATGGCTTTACCTATATACCTATACTACTGATTATCCCAAATGGTGCATACAATGGTACAACTCCTATAATAATATTTTAGATTAGGTTTTTCAGATTTTTATTTAAGGCCATAAGAAGTAGATTCTTTGTTTTGCGTCCCCTTGCTTGCACGATTTTGAGTAAATCAGAAAAAACAAACACATCCAAATAGCAATCACAAGGGTCTGAAAGTACCATCACATTTTGTTCAATCAGAATCAGACGAAATGGTGGATAATTTGATGTGTGTCAAAATTGACAGTGTTCTCATTACTTTGCATACATTGTGTATTTTCTTATTTTTTACCCTTGAATAATAGCTATGTTTAAATATATTGTATAAAATGTATAGATATGTGTTTGTAATCACTGCAAATTGGTATGTCATCCCTTTTTATGCCTATAAAATGTATACATTTCTCAGCAAACAAGTTTGTGTTTTTTCTTGAGTTTGTGTGTGTTTTCTTTGTACCCTTGCATGATTTGGGTTTTGCCAGGACGGAAAACAAAGAATCTACTTCTTCTGGCCTAATCAAATATTCATGTCTGTATGTTTACACCCTATTTAAATAGCTCTTGTCTCTTTGATTTCTAACTTTTATATGTCTTTGCATTGGAACATAGCCGGGTGATGCATGCAGGTGGGACAACGTATACAACATGACAGTTTTATCATAAACATAAATTACAATAAATTATATCTAAAAGTGTATGTAAAGCTATGACGTGTCGCAAAAAGCTCGCGCACGCATTGTTACACATTTTGTGGCGTAATCCAGAGGATCCTCGCTTTTAACATGATAGAATGTGACGTTTTTGAGAAAAATGAGCACTTATCGAAATCCTTTCGTCCTCCACATTTGCCTCTATATCTCAAAATATTTAAGGCGAATAAATCTGATATTGTATATGTATTAACAATGGGTTAGGAGCATCATAAAACACGAATCAATTGATATTTTAGGTGAAATAAATATACGTGTTGCTGTGCTTGAAAATAAGCGAATGGCGTAAATTAGCCCTATTTTAATGAATTTTGAAAACCTTTCGTCCTCCACTTTTCCACATACAACAGAAAACACATACTTTTGTGAACAAAATCAACTATTTATTAATAAACTAGAGTTTAGGAGCAAAATAATCATGTATGATTTATTAAAAATTGATCTCGTATTTTTTGTTTTATGTACACCTGAAAAGTTGAAGGTACCAAAAAATGAGCGAAAAGGGTCGCTGTCAACAGATTCTATTTTTCAGACTCTATGACGTCACAATATGGGACGCTTACTAAAATTCATCCTTTGAAATAAAACTTCCATCTACCTTTATCAAGACGAAAAATAAGTATAATAGTCATATATTGTTTGAGTTATGAGCGTTTAAAGACGAAAAATAATTCAAAATGTAACGTGTCAACATGGGATATTTGCCAGATGTTTTGGTAAAAAACTCTTTTTTAAAAACGAACGCGCAAAAAATGTGAACGGAGTGTAGTTGATCTAAAATCTTCATCGAAACAGCTTTAAAATGATATATAACTTTAATTAGAATATTATCTTATAATCCGGGGAATCAAAGTTACGATTCACGCGATACCCTTAAAAAACAAATGCGCCATCTTTTTGCGACACGTCTATACAAGAATTAATCGTTTGTACATAGTGTGTAATCGTTGGATGCATTTGTCTAATAAAAAATCCTGAATTTTGCCCAATAAAATAACATCGCCTGAAAATCCCCAAAATTTTTGATTTGTGTAAAACTATGACAGTAAAGATTTCGAACTTTACTGAAATACTCCTGTATCAAAACTATATATCTCTTCGGAAAAAACACTATAAAAATATTAAATCTAACTCATTATCTCCCTTTAATTCCCCATTGAACTTACCTGAGATGGGGTACATGTACAATTTTCTTCATCTTTTAATCCGAGATATGATTCGCTTCTAGACATTTCTAATCCGGGTTTTAATTTCCTTTATAGTTCTTGTTATTGCCAGCGAAAAAATAAAGCTTAAGAGAAACTACCAGGCCAGCTTTATTCAATGATCAAAGTAAGAAAAACTGAATTAGGACCTTAGGACTCACAACATGATGTTGATTCCCTAACTAATCATTTTCATTGGGAATGTACTTATGTAATTGCAACAATAGCCCCCGAGGGACTGGCAGCATGCATGCGATTCAGCAGGGGATAGTCACGTATGTTATTGTTATGCTCAACAACTCCATCGAAAAATCATTTAAAAACAATTGTCGTTCGTATTTGGGTTGTAATTTCTAGATCGATCGAAATAATTAAATAATTTGAATTGATACAGACATATTATTGATTCATATGTTATTTAAATGAATAAGCTATACAAAAACCCGTTGTGTCAGTATGTATATGTAGCATAATTGGTGCTGTCAAAAGTCAGAAGAGAATATATTCCAATAATATAAATGCAAAATAACACTTAATAATTTATCACTTGCTAATTAGAAAGTGGTGTTTACAGTATTTCGTGACCGACCATTTTATACGAGCACCAAAAGCGGCAAAGCCCCAGTGAATAGGGAATACAAATGTATATAGAGGTACCCCAGTAAACTTCTGTTTTGTCATGATTTTGTGGAGCATGAACGTTAGAACAGCAGAGCAATATTTTTGTTTTTAAGAATAAAATCATATACCCTAGCGCGAAGAGTTCAACGCCCGTGTTATGCTTAATTAATCATTGTAACAATGTACGAGTTGCATTGTATTTTGTTAAACACGAGTACTACACAAATTACAAAAAAAGTTACAGACAATACCACGAGTTGCGCATTGAATAATACGCAACAAAATGTAACACAATATGCAGTTAAAATATTCTAAACGATCATTGGGTCCAAGGACTTGCAGAAATTCCCGTTTGTCTGTACTTTGTCCATTACAGGGTGGGTAAACAATAATGGGACACTCACAATATATAAAAAAAATAATAATTGTCACAATCTCCATCTTTTGGTATATCACACATGGTTTATCTGTTTGATCCTATATATTTTTAAGAATGATACAAAGTGTCTAATTTTTATTGCCCACCCTGTAGTATAACCTGTCGTCAATATGCAGTCGCCAAAGTTCTTATTCCTCGAATATAAAGATGTCAAAATAATTGGTCATCAATTTAACTCGTCATTAAGATAACCTGTCGTCAATGTAAGCAGTCGTCAGGTGACTTGTGGTCATTGTAACCAGTTGTCAAGGTAACCAGTTGTCAAGGTAGCCATCAAAGTAACCAGTCATCAATGTGGGCAGTGGAAGAATGTAAATGAACTAGTGTTGCTTCAAGACTGTGGACCTCAACTATCTCCTTCACCCACGCGTCACCAACAAAACACAAAGTAGATAGAGGGGGGGGTCCACGGTCTTGAAGCAAAACTATAAATGAACTTACCTTTCTAGGATCTTGCTCGATCCAGCTTTTCAATTCTTTCGCATTTTTAAGATTGAACCTTTCCGCAAAACAAAGCAGGCAAAAATCCTTCTTTTGGCTGTTGCCATGGAGCTCGAATTTGTTGCTATGTAGAGTAGCATGTTTCCCTTTCAAACCAAATGATTCATTGTTACTATATTCGTCTTTATGTTTTGTATGGTTCTCTTCAGAAGTTGGTAGTTCACTATCCTCCGTGTACGCACGTGTACCAGGGGCAGATTTTGCTCTATTGTCAAATTGCACTCTGCGTTTCGAATGATACGCTGTTTGTAAATTGAGACTTTTATTAGTGTCCAACATATATGTCGGCTTGTCTCCAGCACTTTTATTGCGTCTCACCAATCCTCTATGTATAACAGGTGATGTTTTACGTGAGCTGTTTTGATTGTCATGGTAACGACTCGATGATAAAGAAAACTTTGAAACCTCTGCCACAGGTACGACAGTGCTTTCCCGTTTTTGACGTAACTGTTCGATGTATTCCATAAACGAATTCGAGGTAGGTTTTGCCACAGGGATAAGCATAAGTGGGGCATCTAAACGAGTGCTTATTGGTTGATTTCTGTAGCCACGACCCATGGGATGCTCAACCGCTGAGTGTGATCGCCTTAGAAACCTCTTGTCAACATCATTTTTCGTTCCTGAACTCCGAGGTCTGTATGGGACAAGCTCAATATTTTCATTTGGCCCAACACCAATTAATGTCGGTCCCATCGATCGAGGCTGTTCCATAGATTTTGTACGTCGTACATAATTCCTGTCGTTATAGAAACGAAATAGCTGTTCGGTTGCCATGGCAACGTTTGCATTTAATTCATCCCTGCAGAAGACTGTTCATTTTCATAGAGATCAATCTGAAAATCAATTTGAAATGTACTGACCAAAGATTCTGACTACGGTGTGACATAGTAGTCTTCTGGTAATCATTGTGCACAATTTGATACGTGAAATTATCTGAAATACAGTACACTCTCTAAGATAACAACTGACAATGCAAATCAACGATAGAATGTCAGATGATGTTCACTCATAAAATGTAATTTTGTTTCACACGTACGGCTAGTCTGCGAGTTGTTTAACCAAATCAAAGGTATTGTTCGTTTTCATATATTTGTTTGTTTGTTTGTTTGTTGTTTGTTTGTTTGCTTGATCTTGTTGAAACTATAAGGAACAAATTGCATTTACTGTCACCCGAATAATTAGTGATAGAACTATATCACAGTCTGTTTGCCCAAATTGAGTAGCTATAAAGAATTGAATTCTTGGTCATTGACATGATTGGTTTTCTGGTTGGTGACCTTGGAAGAAGTCGATCTTGACTACCAATACAGAACCTGACAGACCTAAAGAAAACAATGAATAGTGCCATTTTCTTGGGGGTTAAGCAATCGACCTATACGTGTATATTGTGATTTCGGAATTAATTGAACGGTTCGTAGGATAACATTACTGTATATTTACTATATATTCAGAGAGATGCTAAAAACCTTGAAACAGACATTCATCGTTCGAGAGTATTGACCCATTTTATTGACATTATCAGGAAATGCCGAACCATTTATCCCATTTAGGATTTTATTACGTTGCACTGTGTACATTCAACTTTAATTGTGTTACTCAATACTTACGTTCATTTTCATATGGGATTAGGTTATATCAAGGCAGTGCAAATTATAGAGGATTAGGCAGGTCAAATGACATTGACGTCAAGGTGATAGCGAATCGTAGAAATATTGACATATCAATAAACATGATAAAGAGACCATTTTGAATCAATGGTTGTAACCAATATTTTACTATTGACTATCAATTCGAACCCATATTTAGAGCGACGAATCTCGAAATGTGTTCTGTGTTTCCAATAGTTTCTGTTCAAGAAATGAACTTTTTTTATCAAATGCAAATTGTTGCTGTTTTACAGTGGTCACAGTTATGTGGATCAATTTCAAATGTTCATTATATTGCGTATTTCACAAAATAAAAAACGCGCATTTTTTCAACGATATTAATAACTCAGATACGAGTAGGTAGTTACCAGTTTCACCACCAGGTGGCTCATTCGGGTCAGATAGCATGGCGGATATAATAGAAGTTTATATTCATCAGTTTTAGTGGTCCAATTTTCATACCATCCTTAAGTATCTAATAGTGTATGTAAATTAAATATGTCCAGTATTAAAAGAAAATATTATCTGTCCAAAAGATAATTCACTTTTTGTAATTTTACAACATGGGGTCTATGGGAAATCTCCCCGAACTAGAAGTCACATTTTCAAAAAAAATTAAATTTCCAAAGTTGATAAATAATTCTCGAAACCATTTCCAAATGTACTTTTACATGTAGATTTCAAATATGACATCACTTTGACTGAAGTTTGAATTTGTAATGAAGTACGGTAAATCAATATTATTTTTACTCGCATCTAGTCTATTCGTAAGAACGATCTTTGCTGTTGATAAAACCTACATTTTATCATTTTTCATTCACAATTATGTTGCTGTCTAGTTTATTTTACATCTTATTCTTATTCCTTTGGACATGGATTGAGATTCTCACGTCATTTTGTCTTCAACATGCATTATAATGTCTTCAGTATGACTGAAATCCATACATGATTCTGTGGTTTGATCTTGAATCGCGTTTTAATGTTTGTCAAGCTGTCATTTGAAACTATTTCTTTCCTTGGTCCAAGGGTGTTTCACTTCTTAAATGTATTAAAAGAACAACAGAACTATGAGTCCCTTTGATGAAGAATGCGTTTCACCATCGTTGGCGTCAGTTTCCTTGTAACCGGTTTTAATTTCAACACTTCAGGATTCCACTTTGGTTATTTTGTTCATTAGCCTCAAGCATATGTTTCACGAACGATATTTCAGTCAAAAGAAGACATTGCAATAATGTTGAAGCTATTTCATAATGCGAATTTCAATATATGACAAAGTCAAGGTACACACTGTACGATTATATGAAGACGGGGTTGTATGCTCACTCTTTTTCATCATTGAGTATATTTAGAACAGGACCAGTTCATGTATGAGATCTTTGCACCTTTGCGGCGAGCGTAGAAAAACTACGCTCGACTTGCGGCCTCCGTACGGCGTATCCAGTTTTTTACAGGCCGCAGGGTCGCCGTAGAAATTATAACTCGGAGTTATAATATTTGTTCATTTCTGAGGTCCCCGTAGAAATCAACTGGCTCAACAAGATTGAATCATTATTTTTCAATGTTTCACGATCACTTTTCATTTGATATAACATCCTAGCACTATGAATAACATTTATAAATTGTCCTGATGTAAATAAAATGAAAAAAGTATTATTTAACAACAGAAAGAATGGGTATCGATATGGCGAACTTTTTTAACACACGTTTCTCTTAAGCCAGTCATAAAAAATCTAAAAATTTAACACATCGTCAATTTAATGGTCATCTTTTGAATGGTAACAATATAATTTGAAATATATATATATACTTTCATCTATATTGTTTTAGAAAACACATCAAACACTTGTTTTGTTCTTGGTGTCATGTTTCCAGAGTGAAATGAAACATCTTTCCGAACCTCATTGGAACAAAACGACATAAACGCAAAATGTTTAGGTCTCTCAATATTGTAATTGTACAAAGGAAATTTTGGTTGATTTTAAAAAAGTATCTTGTTAATGAAAAAAAGTTTTTTCTTGATTTTTCTCTATTTTAGGGGGATTTTGTTTTAATTTTTTGAATACTTTTTTAAAATCAACCAGAAATTCCTTTGTATAACTTTAATATTGAGAGGTCTAAAAACATGTTGTATATGCTATTTTATTCCAACAAGGTTCGGAAAGACATTTTATTTCATTCTCAAGAATTGGTAGAAAGGAGCAAAAACAACTGCACTAAAAAACAAAAAATGTTAACAAAAACCGTCATGTAAAATTTTTTTTTTTTTCAATTCAATTTATTTATTTCATAATTCTTATATAATATACACTATAAAAACAAGCCGCTAGACACCCTAGTGGGTATATGTTGCGGTTTAACAGAAATCATTAAAATGGCAACTAGACTACATATAAAAGAAAACACTTATAGGATAAGTGACTTGGGTGATAAGTGACTTGGGTGCTCATATTTCTAAATAATTTTTGCATTAAATTGTTGTCAATCAGTCAACATTACATAAAATACCATGTTTTTTACAGAAAGTTTTCAATGATTGGTTTAAGAGAAAAACATTGTTGAATTCAGTTCTCCATATCGATACCTATCCTTTAAAATTCACCGTGCGGCTGCCGTGGGAAATGTGACTGCAAAAGTATGAGGGCGCAGAAATTCTACGGCGAGCGTAGAAAAGCTACTGGCTGCAGGAATGATAGACCGCACGGCGGCCGTGGGAAATGTGACTGGGGTGTTAGTCTTCTTACTTTAATGCTCTGGTCACATTTGCTCCGATTTCCGCTACGGTGCCCGGCCGATTGAGTATTTTGTTTAAAATTGAATACGATATTGAACAAAACATTCTATCGGCCGGGCGCCGGCCGATGGATTGGAGCAAATGTGACCCAGGCATTATGACGATTCATCTCCAATCAACTAAGACTAGAACTTTGATGATTTACTTCTCCAAAACATTTCAGAAGAGAACCTAACGCCTCTGGCCATGTATGTGTTGGAATGTAAGCAAATGCCGGAGGCAAAGTTTACGTCGGAAAGAAACTATCCATTAGTTAGAATATTAAATACATGGATCAATGAATTACAACTTACAATTTATGCTGTGTCAAAAACAAATTGAAAACAAATTGAAAATAGAAATCCTTTTTTTAAGTGGAAAGACTTACCATTTACTTTTTAAGTATTTCCCATGGTTCATAATTCACTTGAGAATTTTCTTGAATCCACAGAAGCAAACCTCAACAATCTTCATTTTTATCATAATCCAAACTTCCGTCCAAACTGTTCATGTTATTCACCAATTCACTTTATTAAAATAATATCCAAAATATTTATTCATAACAGATCTTCAAGTTGTAACTAATACATCTGGTATTATGTAAAGACAAGACATACTTCTAACATTGCAGTCAACATCATTCCCTTCCAATATCTCTACATGTGTATCAATAGGTTAAAGGCACATATTCCAAACAAACAAGTAATCAATATTACAAATTCCATTGCAGTAAGTGCTTTTAGAAACACACCTATACCGAGTAATGTTCTTTGAGGAATTACCTAAATAAAACAGCTTGATCAATATGACATTTATATGTGAAATTGACACCATAAGTTGAATATTCAAGCAAATAAACAATACAATAAGGCATGAACAACCCACAATGTCACTATGTGCACTGGTTACATATGTGTAACAAGTGTTACAGATACCAAACACTGACGCAAAACGCCAGTCACAAAAATTGTTGGCTATAGCAAATGTTCAATCAAGGCTTAGTGGAGATAAATTACATTCCATTTTCCATACAATTAGGCATGAACAAGCCACTATGTCGACATGGTAGGACATGTGTAACATGTGTTACAGATACTAAACAATGACACTAATGCCAAACACCAGTTACAAAAGATGGGGGCTATAACTAATGTCCCACCAGTGTTAGGTGGCGACATTAAAACATATCATATTCCTCTTAGTACGCTGTGATGGGACATTGTACGCAAACAAGACCCTTTAACTTTAATAACCAATAGAACAAAAGCATTTTAACGATTACAAGTAAGAACACATAGCTGATAATTACAGGTGAGCGATTGCAAATAGGTTTTGTACCTGGCCATTGTTTATCAGCGAAGGTAAATAATTACCAATAGTATGCAATACAAAATCAATTTTTTTCTTAATGACTCTTGGGTTCCTATACATCAAGTCTTAATTATGTTCAATGTTTTTCCATTCACTAAGGGCAAAAGGATTATTTGTATAAAAGTAAGAGACATCCTGTGTGATTACATTACCCAAGCACTTAAAAATTAATCATTGTTGACAAAAATGTTTTTGAACAGGTTTATATATAATATACAACTTAGCCTTTTTATATATGATATATGCCTTTATTCCATGATGGTGAAATTCCCTGCAATCTGATTGGTCCACGTGACTTAAATATATCCTGTATTTACACACACTCTCAACTTAGCTTTGGATACAGAGTGAAAAATGACGTCACCGTTGGGATACGGTTCAGTGTTACCTTACACATACTGAGTAGTATAAAATCAAATCCTTGAGAAGATTAAACCAGGTCTACAAAAATTGTTCATTGACATCTTCTTGATTATAATTGGTTATTATTCAATTCAATATTTAACAAAGAAACGTGCTGCCATCTTTTGACAACCATAAATGCCATTTGATTTTAAAGGTTTGATTTATAATGTATATTTTTGCCCTAGCACATAGGTGTAACTAACTATGGGACAGGCGAGGCAAGTGCCTCACCAGAATTTTACACAATATCACTCTACTATACCTAACCCCTAGAAATGCATAAGACATTCTGTTTGCCTAATTGTATTGTTTAGTATATTTTTGAAAGTACCTTATCAACATCTGACAGTCATCCAATAAACCATTCATAAGCAACAGACACATAAAAAACAAATAACATAATCGTTACTGATAAGCCAGATGGGTTGCTCATGAACACCAAATGCAAGGTATAGTAGAGTGAATATATTTTAGCCATCTTGTCACATATGAACCTTTTCAGTCTTCTGCCTTGCTTATATTTTGGTCTTATTTCATGCCCCCCCCCCCCACTACTTCAACAAGTTGAAGTGGATAGGGGAGTTGGGTCCAAGGTCTTGGATCCTTGCTACCCCCTTCAGTGGAGTAGGAACAATGTACGCCAATACGCCAAAGCGTACTGTTGAAAAGTGAGGTTTTGTTTTTCCTTAAAACATTCCGAACCATTTTCAGTTAAAATATAATCTTTACATGTGTATATTTTAATAATTTCCCATTAATTGAGATTTGTTATCTGATTATTGCCGATTGTAATCTGGTGTATGGTTTTACCGATGTGAAAATTGGGCATCTTATATAAGTATAGAGAAAATAAACATTTTTTAGAAAAGCAACAACGAGAGTTCTGTAGAGAGTTTTCCACCTTGATTTTGAATGAAAAACATTTTAAGCACATTATTACAAAGGTATTACCATAAAAATGATGTTTTACAAACATAAAATAGGAGTTTTGATTTGAAAGGTTTGCAGTTTGTTTAAGTGTATACTTGCCCTAGATTTAGACATTGCCATGTATTAGCCTTGAATATACAACATGTGCTACACCAGAGATTAAAGAATTGTTCATGAACTCTAAAACAACTTGAATGAAAGAATACATGTCAGAGTCAGCACATAACTGGCCACTAGATTTATTCGAATCATTCAACTTGTCAATTTTGTGTCGTTTTGTCGATGGTTCATGCACAATAGTCTCTTCCTGCGTGATAGTTTCTTCCTGGATTTGTACAGTTTGTTGAGTAACAGATTCTTCCTGATAATTTGCATCAGATTTGAAGCTAGAATTTTGAACATTAGTTTCTTCCTGTGTATTCCTTTGGTGTCCTAGCCAATTAACTAACAGCACCTGCATGCATTCTGGGAACAGTTCCTCCACTAATGACTGAGGGGGAGGCAAGTCATTAATACTCTGTATATGCTCCAATTTAAACCTCTCAACGTTAGAAAAAATATCTTTTCTCAACTCATGAAACTCTTTCCCTAGCCATTCACTCACTATACTGAGCAAAACACATTTTTTCTGTGGCAAATCAAAGCCATTACGAAATTTTTTCATTGACTTTTTATCATGACGGATTGAGCAGAATCTTGTTAGAAGTTCATATGGAAATGTATGTGCATCACTTAGTATATCCTCAGAAAATGACTTGATTAAAATTAATAAATTTTCGAGATGTTGTTTTTTAGATTGGTCAGTAGTGACCTCCTTTCTCCTGAGTATGTTATGGATGTATTTCTGCATGTGTGATAAATGAAATGACAGAAATTGATCCACATGTTTTTTATCTTTATCAATATATTCACGCTGAGTATCAATTGGTTCTTCATGTACCTCAACATTGTTACTTTCAATTTGTGATGTAGGTGCGTTTCTTTGAGCAACATTGGCATTCTCTAAAGTTCTTGTTACCATGGATGATTCCTCAGTCACTATGGAAACTGTTCTTTGAGCTTGTACTACAGCAACAGTATCTAACATCTCTAACGGCAATTCTGGTGTTATGTTAATGACATTAGAGTCAAGAGTCATTTGGTTGCTATGGTATTTAAGATCTAAATACCAATTTGCTGTAATGGCACCCTCTAGTGGAGGATCAGAAAACCTTGCTAACCAAACATCCTGGAATCAGAAATAAATTAAGTTTTACTCAGGATTATTTAAAAGAAATACACTATTATCAAAGGAGTGAATATCATCTGGTAATATTTCTGTTTAATTATATCTGTATTTTGGCACTTTTACCTTGAAATATGTGAGGTATATTCTTTGTGTTTCTTTACTGTGATATCTAAATACTGCATTAAAGACCCCTTGAATACTGTACATATAGAAACCAGTAGAACGAACTCCTTCAATATTAGCACCTGGAAGGAAAGAAAATTAATATTTATGCATAACAACATGAAAGGCATTAACATGCAAAATGTCATCACCTGCCATTTGTGACAGACTTTGACCACCCGACACCAAATGACAGAACACCATCCACAAAAAGATGGAGAATGTAAAAATATGTCACCACGTCTGGAAATGACATAAAAAATGATCATAGAATCATAGATTCAGATCTATGGGGGTGACAAAATTAAAAGCAACATGTACAATTGACCTACCAATCTATTCCTTATGATCTCAAATACGATATCTCCCAAGAGTCACGATATGTTATAAATTGGTTTATAAATTAGTTATAATGGATGTGCAAAAATGGGTGAAAAATGTTTAAATTCTCCAAAACAATAAGAATGGTTACCAGAAATAGAAAAATAATACATTATTGTAAAAATCTTTAGTTTTCCTGAAATAAAGTGTGCACTGTTTTTTTTAGAAAATAGACATGAAAAGGAGTGACATAAACCAGAAATATTCTAAAACTGAAACAATATTTTGTTAGGCTGCTTGCTAGATCTCATCTGATTCTCTCTTTAACTTGGAATCAAGGCTTGGTATAACTGATCGACTTGCCAAGTTCAGTTAGCTTGGTATTACACTTAGGCCTGGTATAATTGACTCGCCATGTTGAGTTAACTTAGTTACAAGGCCTGTTATAATAAACTCACCTTGTACACTTAATTTGGTCGCAAGTCCTTCCTTGGTGAACCTCTGATGTATACGCCCATGGTTCTTTGAATCTTGGTCACACCCAGCCAGGACATCAGCACCAAGGAATAAAGGTATATCTCCATCCTACAACATTGATATGGAAATGCAGGTTTTCATTAATGTTAATAATCAATGTCCTGCCAGGACATCAGCACCAAGGAATAAAGGTATATCTCCATTCTACAACATTGATATGGAAATGCAGGTTTTCATTAATGTCAATAATTAATGTCCTGCCAGGACATCAGCACCAAGGAATAAAGGTATATCTCCATTCTACAACATTGATATGGAAATGCAGGTTTTCATTAATGTCAATAATTAATGTCCTGCCAGGACATCAGCACCAAGGAATAAAGGTATATCTCCATTCTACAACATTGATATGGAAATGCAGGTTTTCATTAATGCCCTACTTAAACTAGACGTTAATCAATTCAGCAAAGCCATTAAGGAAACAAATGATGATATCTAATAATAACGAGGCATTAACATGCAAAATGTCACCACCTGCAATTTGTCACACTGAATGTCAATCATCAACTGCCACCACAAAAAAAGTTGGAGACCATAACATATTGGATGAATATTAACAACATTTTAGGAATTAACTTTAGAAATGATCCCCAGTCATTACTCATAACTGCTTTATGGGTTATAATCTGATGATGAGGTAGCACTCTACTAATGTGTCAAGTATATTATATCCCCGGGGGGTTCACTGTATAAAAACCTTGACGGGGGTCTTGGGCACACATGGGGTACCTTTCCAGCATATGAACATATTCTCAGATTTATTGAATTACATGTATGTCTATAGAAATACTTTTATTTTTGGAATGTGGATTGTCCAATCAATGCATACCTGGCAAATATCAGCAGAGTGTGATGCATGTATGATATCAGGAAGACGAAGGTACAGACATCTGATGTTTAGTTTATCTTCAAGTTTAAACATACATGGCTTTACCTCCATGGTCCTTCCGGCCCTAACTATAGCTGCATGTACTTTACAGCATGTTATATCTAAAATCAAAGAAAAAAAATAAAGATACGAGACTCTTAATTTCTAATCAGTAGCAACAGATTCTATCTACAGTAACAGTACTGCAGGCCCGTAGCCAGGATTTGCCAAGGGAGTTCACAATTTCAGGGGGTTCACTTTTGACAATTTTGGTCCAAAGATGGCCAAAATCACTTAAAAAGTGCTCAAAATGGTGAAAACTGCATGACTTAAATGAATCTTTGACCAGGGGAGGGGGGGGGGGGCATTCTCATACCAGATCCTAAAATTTGGGTGCCCCCCCCCCCCCTGGGTATATACTGTATCTTACTCCATACCACACAGTGGACACAGGTTTAGACAGTGGGAGTGTCAATCATCTTGTATTAACATGTAGGTAGGAAACATTCTACAGGTATAAGTTACACAGTATCAACTAGGGGGGTATATATATCTAAACCTTAGTCATTGACCTGATAGAACATATTAGATGGAAAAGAGACCTGATGTCTAGGCATTTTGAACTAAAATGAAGATGTTTTACCAAAGAATTGCAGACATACCAGTGGATCAGAGGACAAACTAAACTAAATAACTGTCATTTGATATTGTATCAATTTTGTATTACATGTATATTGTATATGTATTTATACTCACAGGTGTGGGTAGAAATAAAATCTAAACTGAAAACTGAAAACATCATTTTGTAAATATGAAAAAGAAATAGGACAGAACTGATGAGACAGTTGTATTTGAAGATGAAATATCGAGAAATTTATATGTTCAAGAAAGGTAGCTTTTGTTGTTTCATCGGCTTTCAACTAATTGAAAGCCGGATGGTTGTTTCAATTCCATGTTTACAGAATGAGACTCACAATCATGGTTGCGGTGCACTGAGTGCCTAAAAGTACCTAATGTATATGGACAATACATACATACATGTAGTTCAACAAGTTAAACCCAATACCACGGCTTTAATTTATTAATCTGAGTATTCTTGTTGCCGTGGTTAGGTTTAACTTCTATGCTATGCTTTCATTGGTTGCAAATTCTCACCATCAGTTATTAATAAAACGCGCATGTAATTCCATGCGCTGAAATAGGCCATCATTAAATTTTTTGCTTCAAGGGCCGAATAGGCACGGACGTTAAACCTCGGGTGGGCCACAAGATATGTCAGATAAGAAATAAGCCCCAGACTAGGTTTAACTTGTTAAACTAACATACATGTAGATTGTAGACTTTCAAGAGATCCAACTAGGCATTCATCGCCTCCCTGCCCTCCAAGTTCAAATTAAAATATTTTACCTATGTGGGGAGTAAAGCTAATATGTGCATATATATTATTACTTGAGTCTCTAGCCATAGCGCTATAGCGATTTAGTCAAGATGACCCTGTTGTCAAATATTTCTTTCAGTTTTATTTTAATTCTTTTGTGAATAAATATCCTGTGAAGTAGACGAATGTATGAACTAGGACTGTGTGTAAAGATCAATGAAGGTGAGTTTATTATGTTTACATCAATAAAAATAAGACCGCTTGGCAATTGAAGGCAATTGATGGCCACACTCAGTGGCCATAGAATATGGTAAAGTGGCCATAGCATATGGTAAATATATTACACCATCATCAGGGAATCATTTATAACGATACAACTCCCAGCGTACTGACAATGACATTATTGGTGGGTGATAATTGAGAATAGACTAACAAAAAATTTCAAAAAAGTAATTGTGAATGACTTATGTCACCGTGACGCTTCTGTATGATTCAGTTATTTTAAATTTCAAATGAGGTATTAGAGTGTACCTTTTGAACGAATTATCCTTGATTAAAATGGGACAACAGCCACAGGTTGTATGTAGGCTAAAACTTACCGAAGTACAAATTTATTGGTTTTATAAACATAAGTGGACAAAGCTCTTACATCTGGTGTTTTCCATTGGGGCTCTGTGTGTAAGTCAGTGGCAGCCAGACTTGGAGCAACTACCCTACATGTACTGTATGAGAAAAGACTCAGGCATCTTCAGCATTTTTCTTCTGACTAAAAGGGGAAAATAGGGGACATAAAACAATTGTGTCTTTTTCACAGGCCTTTTCATAAGGTAAACATGGTATCAGTGGCTGAGAGTAAACAAAATGTAAAATAAACAAATTTTAGGGGATATGGATCTGGTTTGAGTAAAAAAACAGTTAGTAGAAATAACTATAGTATACAGTATAGTATACAGTATAGAGACTCTGACAATCATATATATACATATATATATATATTGCTACATGTCTCTGTGGGCCTAGAATAAACTATACATTGTACAGATTTTGACAAGGAGAAAATGCAAATGCCAAATATTCTAGATTTTTATTTGTTTGTACTAAACATAGAATGTGATATTATATAGAACTTAGAAGCTATTCAAAAAGTAAAATACTGTTGTTGGAATGTAAGGCAATACAAAATACATACCAAATACTCTTCAATTGACAATGAATTGCTAGTTTACTGAAAATTCTAAAAATTTAACTTTCGTGAAATCCGCCATTTTGAAACCTGTCACATGTCAACAAGGTCAAAGGTCACGCTACCATATATGGGACAGAATATCGGTGGTGCACTCTGGGAGCCAATCCTCCTTGTTTTCAAGGAGGATTGGCTCCCAGGATCGAAACTCGATATTTTCCAACAATGAAATCGTCGAAATGTCGTTATTTTCTGAAATTATAACCAACTATAAATTCAAAATAAACAGTCCAAAAGATTCGAACCAATATCTCGATCATTTCTCCTGAGTTTTGGAATTTTTCGTTCGGAAACAATACCAAAATTCACGATTCAAATGCTGAAGTGAACAAAATGGTGGCTGTTTGAATTCAAATTTTGTATCACGACATGCCCATATATGGGACAGAATATCGATGTTGCACTCTGGGAGCCAATCCTCCTTGTTGTTTTTAAATATTGGGAACCGGAACTTTACAATAAATAATCGAACGCCAGAAATGATAGAATCACAGTGAGAATGTTCGGACTTTTTATAAGAAAGAATGACAGACGAAATGGAAAACGGCTACCGAATGATACACATATCAGGCGAGTTTTATGTAAAAATAAGGAATTTAATGTCTAAAGAGGTATGAAGACAAATTATATACCAAATTAAATCTAGAGACTTCGTATTTAATCTGGGCCTCAGTATTTAAGGATCTGATATTAATTTCTTCCAAATGTGCCTCCGTTGCTATGGAAACGGGACGCAAAAGCAACGCCCACTTTTCAAATCTCTTTATAAGTGGTAAATGCATTTTGGATTATAACTTTTTGTTTCCCAACCAATCTTAGGCCTACTTTAATTGGTATCAGAGGCACGCCCGGAGTCGTACAAAATGATGGAGGGGGGATTAGGCGATTTCTGCAAGAAAACTCACATGGCGTAGAATAGGCCTAATGGAAATAACGTCACAACGCATGCGCGTAAATCGACATTTCATGGTCCAAAGATTTCAATGGAGAGCAGTCTTCATCAAAATTTAAAATCTTAATAACTTTTTAGCAAATCATTTATTTTCTTAGGATTCAACGGATCCTTATTAGACCCAACGAAGTGTTCATTTTGATATATAAAACAGCAAAATCCATCCACAGATCTTTCGGCCTTTTGATGATTTAATTTTCGGGATATTTTGCTAAAATCCCCCATTGGCCGCCATTATAAACTTTGAAAAAACCCAAATCCTCATCATTTCATATCATTCGTTAAGTGATCTAAACAACTCCAATCGCTTAGGATTCAACGGATTCTAAGAGATCAAAGCTCATACAATATATTGACAACCTCCGTTTCAATATTTACATGGCGTAGAATAATGGAAATAACGTCACAACGCATGCGCGTAAATCGACATTTCATGGTCCAAAGATTTCAATGGAGAGCAGTCGTCATCAAAATTTGAAATCTTAATAACTTTTTAACAAATCATTTATTTTCTTAGGATTCAACGGATCCTTGTTAGACCCAACGAAGTGTTCATTTTGATATATAAAACAGCAAGATCCATCCACAGATCTTTCGGCCTTTTAATGATTTACTTTTCGGGATATTTTGCTAAAATCCCCCATTGACCGCCATTATAAACTTTGAAAAAACCCAAAACCTCATCATTTCATACCATTCGTTAAGTGATCTAAACAACTCCAATCGCTTAGGATTCAACGGATTCGAAGAGATCAAAGCTAATACAATATGTTGACGATCCCCATTTCAATATTTGCCGCACAATCTTTCGGCCTTTTAGGTTATAAATTTGTCAATATTTTGATTTTCGTACATTAATGACGTACTTGGATTCCAGATTCATTGTCCCGGGATTCATGACGCTATTTCCATTATTCTACGCCATGCCTGCATAATCTTTCGGCCTTTTAGGTTATAAATTTGTCAATATTTTGATTTTCGACCATCAATGACGTACTTGGATCCGAGATTCATTGTCTCGGGATTCATGACGCTATTTCCATTATTCTACGCCATGACAAAGGAAGATTTATTTTTTCAAGAGAAAATTTACAACTGAATTGCCAAATGAATAGGCGCAGTGGCATGGCAAAATATGTTAGGTCATTTAGTATTTTTTTAACTGCCCTTCTAAGATCATGGGCTTTCAAAGCCCATGTAAGATATGAGATCTATTAAAAAAGGCGCATCAGGCTAACGTGCTGAAAAGTCAATGTTTTTGCTATAAACCGGGCAACAATGGTCTACACGACCTGTAATAAATAGGTATAAAGGACGTTATTCAGGGGCGTAGGAAGGTGCAAATTCAACACTACGCCAAAAATATGAAAAAATTGTGTCAAATCTTTAATATCAAAACGCCTATTTTGTGTTCGTAAAACGTAATTTTTATGGTAATAGCCTTTCTAATGTACTTAAAATTTTCGAATGTTTTTCATCATATAAAATATCACCATGGAAAGCCGATAGTATGATCAATAGAAGTCCGTGATCAATGATACAACCAACTCA